GCTCCGTCGCAGCAATGATATCAAAGCTGGATGCAGAATGCCTTACGAATTGAAGGAAGTATAAGGCATTAGACGATCAGTAATAATCACACTTCTCCATGCGTAAGTGAAGATGTTCAACCATTGCATAGAAGTAAAACTGTTGATAATAACAGTTAGGCAAGATGGCAGCTAGGAATTAATGAGCATTAGAGAAGACCTTAACACCAACATCACACATGTATACATATGTAAGAAACATGCACGTTGTGCACATGTACCCTAGAACTTCAAATATAATTAAAAAAGAAAAAGAAAAGAGGTTTAATTGACTCACAGTTCTGCATGTCTGAGGAGGGCTCAGAAAACTTCCAATTATGGCTGAAGGGTAAAAGTCATAGCTTAACATGGTGGCAGGCAATAGAAAGAGAGGGAGAGAGAGAGAAAAGGGAGACAGAGAGGTGTGTGTGTGTGTATGTGTGTGTGTGTGTGAAGGGGAAAGAGCCCCTTATAAAACCATCAGATCTTGTGAGAACTCACTGACTATAACAAGAACAGCATAGGGGAAACTGCCTAGTCCAATCACCTCTCACCGGGTCCCTCCCTCCACACCTGGGCATTATGAGGATTACAATTAAAGATGAGATTTTTGTGGGGACACAGCCAAACCATATCAAGTGATAAATTAATAGATGCAAGTTACCTTGATAGATATACCTTTAAGATGATCTTCAAGATTGGGTAGATTTTTGAAATTGTGGAGATGTTAGAAATAGAATTATGAACTGTGTAAATCAATTTAGGTTTAATCATGAGTTTTATCTTTAAAATTTGGGCTTGATTTAAAGTGCCAAAGAGATATTCCATCCAAAGTATGGGAAAATGGCTAGTGGTTCAGAAACTTTTTAAAAGGAGTAGTTTTAGAGTTTAAAAATTTGTTTTTTCCAGGTCGTTAAATTTGATGGTGGAGAGGAAGTACTTATTTCAGGAGAATTCAATAACCTGAGAAAGGTAATGCCATTTTGTGTGTATAATGTAATATTAGCAGCTCGGATACTAAGCTTTAAAAACATGTAAAAAGCACATTAAATTGGCATCTTTTTGTATTAGGTCACCAAGGAGCAGTGGGACACCATAGAAGGACTCATCAGGAAGACAAAAGGTTCCTAAGACCACTTTGGCCTTCATCTTGGTTACAAAAAAATGAATAAATGACCTCTCATGTTTGCACGTATTTCAGGTCCTAATAAAATTGTTAGATTAACAAAACATGCTTGAATATGTATTCTGTGCCAA